ACTGTTTACCTGAAATTCAAATTTAACTGGATGTCCTGTATTTTTATTTCCTAAATCTGGCAACTGTATCAGCAAAAGAAATTTAAAGCTTGGAGGCAGTGTTCTGTAGAGGAAAGGGCACTGCCTGACCTGATGATCACAGTCAGGATGAGCCCAGCTGAGTCTGTATTGCTGTATGGCTTGGCTGTGGTATCGGAAAGGACTCTGGAATTTGTGCTTGGACAGACCTGGATCTGAATTCAAGCTCTGCCACTCTACTAGTTCTGTGACTTTGGGCAAATTATTTAACTGCTCTCTGCTTCATTTTCCTTCTCTGTCAAATTGAGATAATAACAATCTCTATCAAACAATGCTTGTCTATCAGCTTGTCATACTATGGTGGCTTCTGTGTTCCTAGGATACTGGAAGCCATGCCACTGGTATTTCAAATACCAGTAGGGTCAAGTTTCTATGTTGCTTCCAGACTAACATAGACTAGGAGGAAAGACTTGGATATCAACTTAAAAAAACCACCACTGAACACCTTATGAATAGAAGTCAGTGAAAGAAAGGAAGACCATCAATGAGATGGATTGACACAGTGGCTGCAACAATGGGCTCAGGCATGGCAGTGATTGTGAGGATGGCACAAGACTGGGCAGTGTTTTGTTCTGTGAGTCAGAACTGACTAGACAGCACCTAACAGCAATACCACATAATGCAAGCTCTTTCAGGAAAGGATTTGTTCTTTATTCATCTTTGTTTCCCCAGTGATTTGTACAGTGCTGACATATCTTAGGCCCTTAAAAAACATTTATTGATATGAGTTGCATGAGTCACAGGACTGAACTAAGAAGATGCAGAATTCAGAACTAGGGTGGTCTTAGAAATCACTTGGTTCAATGAGCTGCCCAAGGTTTGTGGTAGGAGCAACAGTAGGGAAATCATGGCTTCCCACAGACTGAGAGCATCTCCTGGGTAGAGACCAGGCTCATTCCCCTCTGAGCCCTCCTATCAAGCAGGGTGCCTGGCCCGTAAATATTGCCAGAATGACTAAATCTTACCCACTCTTAGATAGTCACTAAGGAACTAAGGAACTATAATTTTAGGTTAAGGTATTTATCCACAGCAGGTGAACCCGAACTTTCTCCTCTGCCATGGGAGTTAGAGAGTTGAATGTGCCCTCTTGGATGCTTGCCCAGCTCTGCTTTCATAAGGTTTTTGTTGGAGACAAAATATCATGGAAAATAAAATGGTTTTCTCCTCGTTAGCTGCCCTATCACTGAACATTGGATTTAAGCTGGGAGATAGATGAACTCTCTGGCCTGGAAAAATATTTATCTTGTGTAGCAACAAGTACACTAAGATCTTAGTCAGAAAGCCTCTAGGGGTCTGCGGACGTCATGGGATTGGATTCACATAGTGGACACAGTGCACTTCCCCCAGTTGGGGTGGCATGTAATACCTACATTCATTTTTTTTTTTTAAAGCTCAGTCAAGCCCAAGGGTAAGTCAAGCCCACAAGTATAGAGAGTGAGTGCCTCAGAAGGCACTATTTAATTGAATATTTATTAGCTGAACTAATGATCATTTTTTAAGATGGAAGTACACCTTCGATACCCAGCTCTATCACTGTGACTGATTTCATGTTTCCTCAGCAATCCATTAACATTCCCCAGGGCAACATTTACCAGACAGTTGATAATCTATTTCCCCATTTCTCTCCTCAAGTAGACAAGACACCCCTCCCCCATCATTAGCTCCACAGAAACTCTTACCACAGCATCTCATTGTGATGTGAATTCATAGAAGCTCTAAGCTTCTGTCAGAAGACCTCTAACGCTTCTGAGTGCTACATTACAGACAAGCCTTTGAGGTTGCCTGGCAGAACCATTGGCACAGAGTGGGAAAAACACTGGGCCTCCAGTCAATCCTTGGGGACGCCATTCCCCTTCTGCAGCCTCTTTCCCCATGTAAACTAGGGCACTGAACCAAACAGTATCTCTGGTCCCGTCCAGCTCAGATGGAAGGATCCCTGGTGGCACAATGGTTAAGTGCTCATCTGCTAACCAAAATGTCGGCAGTTAGAACCCACTAGCTGCTCTGTGGGAGAAAAGACTTGGCAATCTGCTCCCATAAAGATTATAGCCAAGTAAACCCTATGGGGCAGTTTTACTCTGTCATATAGGGTTGCTGTGAGTCAGAACTGGTTGGATGTCATACAACAACAACAACCAGCTTGGACAGTCTGTGACTCTGGCTGCATGTGGATAAAACAAAATGCACAAACTAATCCACACACAGCCATGATGGAGGGCCGAGAGCATGCCTGCTCTCCACATAACTTCCCCTACCCCCTTGGTTCAGGAACTTAATCATGGATGTCCCTTCTCCATGGGATCACGCACATATTTATTTTTCCAAACCTCCTTGGTGTTGGCAGGTAAAAGTGACTCAGAGTTTCAGGGCTGAAGAGAGCAGATGTTTTCCTTCAACAGGAAACCTGGAGGGCTGTTTTCTTTGACTCTGATTAAAGCTCCTGTTACCTCAGGAGTTTTTTTACAGAGACATATACACAGATGGTCTAGTTATTCTGACACTAAAAACCCTCACAACAGCACCCTCCCTGTACTGACATGTGAGCTGAATGTTGCAAGTCTGAGTCTCTCTCTTCTAGAGCTCAAGCTTACAATGAGTAACGGATGTGCCCCAAGACTTCTGGGCAAACAGATCTTGCAAAGTGACTGATTTCTTTTCTTTTTTTAAATGGTAAAGTGTGATAGTAGCACATGGTGAATCCACTTGCAAAGAGCAAAATCACCATCTTCCTAATGTTGGCCACTTTGTAACTTTGGATTTGTGTGTTTTTCAGTTTCTTAAAGTGGGTCTGGAGAAGGCTCAGCTTTCTTGTGAGTGGGAAGATGGTATAAGCATCAAATAACCCAAAAGCCAGTTGCTGTTGAGTTGATTCGGACTCATGGTGACCCCATGTGTGTCAGAGTAGAACTGTGCTCCACAGGATGTTTAGTGCTGATTTCCTGAAAGTAGATCACCAGGCCTTTCTTCTAAGGCCCCTCTGTGTGGACTTGAACCTTCCAATTAGCAGCTGAGCATGAACCTTTGCACCACAATAGCATCAATACACTCTTTCTACTGAGTGCCCATGGGACCTTGACTGTATGAAACCCCTACTCTCTCAGCCTTTATTACACAGTCCCTAACACAAATCCCTGTCCTCTTGGAGTAGTGTGTCATGTTGAACCAAAGCAGCTCTGGAGTCAGAGAGACCTGGGTTCAAATCCCAACTCTGACACTTATATCTGGGGTAAGTAGTTTAGCAAGCTTCAGCCTTACTTTCCTCATCTGTAAAATGAGGAGAACAAGATCTCATACAACTACCGTGAGAATTAAATGAGATAAAATATATAAAGACCTATCACTATGCTTGGTGCATTGCTGCCAGTATATTCCACAAATAGCATCTGGTATTGTTCTCACTGAACTGGGGGAGAGCTGCTTTCTCTCATCCCTGTGGTATGGCCAGGTTGGGTCAGGGGCTTGTTCTGTCTTGTCAGTTAAGGGATACTCTCCAGTCCTGCCCTGTGAAAGAGCTGGCCTGACAGGAAGGAGCAGGACCAGGAGAGAGAGAGAGAGACTTCAAACCCCAGGGGAAGAAGCAGACATTTGGAGTAGATGTAACATGTTAGCCATTAAAATGATAAATTAGGTGACAATGTGGAAGCACTGACAACTAGAACATTCTACCCTGGCTTGGCTTTAATTTATCTCCCTCCCGTATAGCAGAGTATCTGTCACCTAGTAAAATACTCAATAAACTTTGTTAAATAAATGAAGAGAAAGTGTTCACAAAATAATTTTAATTGAAAAAATTAGAACAAAATTATGGGTGCATTATGATTATAACTAGGTAATAACTAGATTTATGTGAATATGCAGATAAATATTAGAAGGGAAGATAAATGTAGCATTGAGGGCAAAATCTAATTTCCTTCTAAAAAATTACTGAATAATGTTTTAAAGTTCCTTTAGTAATGAAATTTCTAAAAATCAAGAAAGTATCTTATAAAGCAACAAATCCAGGTAGATGGTGTGATGTGAAGAGAGATAACAGATACACAATAGGATCCTGGCCCTGCCACTTGTAGCAGAATCTTTTTAAGCCACTTGCTGTGGAGTTGCTGCCAACTCATGGCGATCCCACGTTTGTAAGATCCCACTGTGCTCCATAGAGTTTTCAGTTATCTTTGGAAGTAGATCACTAGGCTTTCCTTTCAAGGTGTCTTTGGGTAGACTCGAACCTCTAGTCTTTCAGTTAGCAGCATATTAACCATTTGCATCACCCAGGGACTGTAACTACCCCATGTAAACACTGCTCCCTCATTCCAGCCACCACCTTCTGGTTCTAGAGCTGCCGGCCTGGGCTGTGTGTTACCTTGTTGTTGGTGCCAACGTCCAGCAGAACAGGGAGGCACTGCTGTGGGTTCACCCCGCCGCACGCGGTGTAAAGGGCCAGTTTTCCCACAGGGATGCCCATGCCATAGCAGCCCAGGTCACCCAAGCCCAGTATGCGTTCCCCATCAGTCACCACCACGGCCTGAAAAACACAGCAGGGGCTCTATTAGTCAAGGACAGCACTTTGTGTAACAAAATGCTCAGTTTAACTGCCTTAGCACATAAGGCTTGACAACTGGACACCCAATGGCTTTCCTGGGGGATGAAGCATCCTGTCTGGGATAAGGTCAAAGGACTCATTCAACTGCACGTGGCCAATCCTTTTCCCATACACCTCCTCTTTCTGGCAGGTTGTGGGAAACCCCACTGAGGAGAGGATGTAGACACCTTCTTTGTACTCTGAGGCTGGGTGTGGGGGCTCCTGAAACAGCTAGAGAGAAACCACATCTGGTCACTCTTCCTCAAAGAAACTAAGCAGACACTCAGCCTGAGATCTGAGGTGGAGACAGGGGCAGGGGGACAAAATGAAAGGAGGTATAAACAAGTCTCCCTGCTGCCGCTACAGCCCTCAGGTTTTAGAGGCTAGTGTAAGTGCTCTCTGGTCTGCTCCTGGGATATAATAAACCCAATTTCCAGAGAACAAGAGATCCTTCTGACATTTGCTGGGGCCACTATTCTATCTGAAATCAGGAGGCTTCTCAAACTCTAGTGGGGTTACCTTTTATGTTTTGGTAAATAAGTATTTGGTGAAGTTGGTGGTGATGATGCTGGGTATTCATTCATTTAGTAAACATTTATTAAGCACCTACTTTGCATGAGATACTGTACCAGATCTTAGGGGAAGGAAGTTCAGTTTGCTCATCTACAAAAACAAGCATGCATGGACACAACCCTTAAGGAGCTAATGGGCTAAAAGGAGGGAACAACATGCATATTAATAATTATGATCCTGGGAGGAAAGAACTGAGTGTGGTGGAGCAGCCAAAAGGACAGCAGAGATTGAGAGAAGGAGAGTTACTTTCTGTATTGAGCTCAGGTAACTTTTCATGGATGAGGGGACATACCTACCAGATATTGAAAATGGGTAGAGTTTGGACAGGTAGAGATTATGGGGATGCAGGTGGGAGCAAAGGTATTTGATGCAAAAGAAAATTAGGAGCTGGGGAAGAGACGGTAGTATGTGTGTGGCATGCATGATGTGTCTAGGGAACAAGCAGGAGCAGGTTACATGAAAGAAAAAAATGAAAAAGCAGATAGGAGTTAGTCTTGAATGTTTGGACACATCCCTGAGGCTGACTGTGAAATCATGTATAGGTCAGTGTCAGGGAAAATCAACCGAATCTACTTGCCTTCATAGGTTTCCTCCATCTTTAAGTGGAGTGAAGTTCACAGGGCCATCCATCCCTCCATTAGAACATGGCTTTAAGTTAGGGCTTAAGACTAATTCTGAACTATGGATGTCCTAGTAGGTCCCAAGCTGGGTACCTATGAATTCAGTTCAACCCATGTGGATACAATGCTGGAGATAAAGAGATGAAGACTCAGTCTTGCCCTGGAAGAGTTTATGATCCAGTACCCAAGGTCCATGCAATATTGGATTACCAACAAGCAAGGTAAGCACAGGCATACTTGTTCTTACTTATTAATCCATAGTGAACATTTTGACATTTTTCCCATTACATCAAAGAGTCTGCTTCTAGGTACGGCTAGCATCTGTCTCTTTCCAAACCCCACAGCACCTTCCTACAGACTCCAAGCCTCTTTTTCAAATTTATAGGGATAGAGTACACAGTAGGGAAATCCATATGAAATTGTTCACTACAGATTAGTAAGTAAGCACAAATAAGCCTGTGTTTACCTTGCTTATTGGGTAATCTACCCCTGCGTCCATGGTATCTTCTTACTCCTATTCTCTATCTCCCCAAGAATAAGAGCACACATGGGCTGGTGCCTTTAACATCTGAGCACTTAACCACTGTGCCACCAGGGCTCCAAAATAGCTATAGAGTGTGTTAAAGCACCCCCCCTTCCACTACTGAAAAGGGAGCTTAGTAGAGTGCCACAAACTCACGAAAAATATGTTATTTCCCCTTCTGATGGTCTGTTGCCTCTGTGTAGAGTGTTTCCAACCTTCACTTCATCTGATCCTCACCCAAGTCCGGGTAGGTAGGCAGATCAGAGATTGTTATCATGGTTTCACAGATGCCAAGCTGAAGCTCCAACACCTCAATGTACTACACATATTTGTTAAGTATCAGCCATATGCCAGGCACTGGGCTGGATGCTTCCACATCAGTTATCTTGGATAGATTAGATGACCTCCAAGGTCACCTTGCTTGTATATATGGCAGGTCAGTATTCCAATCAGGCTTTGGATTCCTGGGTCAGGTCTCCTTTTACCACCTCATTCAGCTGGGTGAAAGCAGCACCTGTGCTCTTGGAAAATTCTGCCCTCCTCAAGTGCTACCCTCTCCACAGCCTGCCCTTGACTTCTTTTGGCAGTTCTTCCTGCTGGAGCTTGTGTTCACATGCTGCCTCTGGTGTCCAAACTCTGGACATTTCTTTACTATCTCTCCTCATCAAAGCTTTATTTTGGTCCCCATTCTCTCAGCATCCTTCTCTCTGCTGAGGGACAGTGAGTGGCATGGAGTTAAAGAGAAGAATCAGTTGCTCTAAGGTGAACTACAGAAACCAAACTCATTGGCATCGAGTCAGATCCAACTCACAGCAACCCTTCCTTGGGTTTCTGAGATGGTATCGCTACGGGAGTAGATTGCCCAGTCTTCCTTCTGAGGAGTGGCTAGTGGGTTTGAGCCACCAGCCTTCTGGTTAGCAGTCAAATGCCTTAGGCACTATGCCCCCAGAGCTCCTCCCATCACCATCTTGAAAGGCCACAGAATTTAGCTCCCTATAGCACCTTAAGGGAGCTCTGGGAATAATAATAATCCCTACCTTATAGGGTTATTAGGAGAATTCAATGATTAATCTTTATAAAGCACTTAGCATAATGCTGTGTGAGGTGGATATGGTGGTTTGCTTACCTGGTTCCCTTTCAGGAGTGAAGGATTTATTCCCCTAGGTTGCAATCAATGACTGATTAATGTAGGGGTCTAAAGGCCTGGCTCCCCTGTCACAATGTGCTACAACTTTGAAGGGGCATCCCAGATCCTGAGCCTCCTCAAAGGTCACTTGAATCTTCCTTGAGACTTCACTGCAGTCAGTGCTTCCCTCTGCCATATCCTACTTCCTTCTCTTCCACATAGGTGTTGATTCCAAGAGCACTCCCTAATAGACCTCCTATATGATATTCTCTATCTCAGAGATAGTTTCCCAGGAAATCCAACCCCTGGCACTGGGCACAGAGTGAGGCTTAATGAACAGTGGGGCTGTGCATGATAGGTAGTACTTGGCACCAGCAATAAGGTCCACGGTTAAACGCCTAAGTGGCTGGTACCCAGTGGCAGAGGATGCTCCCTTGGCCCCACTGTCCAACCGCCTCTTACACCCTCTCCTCTGGAGCTATTATGAATGGGATGAGGAAGAGATTTAGGAGATTTGGAAAGCTGTTAGGGAGGAGGGTTATTCTCAGATGAGCCTTCCTCCTGGCTCTAGGCAATGGTCACTGTGGGAAAGAGTTGGAAAAGCAGTTCTCACTCCTTTTTGTGATTTACCAGACAGCTCTGGGTGGCCTGGCCAGCCCCTCCTCCCTGAGTAAGAGAGCCCACAAAACTTCATGGTCTCCCTAGCCCTGGGCTTTGGCTTCCATCCCCTTGTGGCCTACTTCTCTTATGTCTCAGTTTGAAACTCTGCTTTTAGTCTTGGAAACCACAGAAAGTCATTTTTCATCTTCCAAGTCCATTGAGGAGCTCCTTTAAACCATCCTTCTCCTACAGCCTAGATAACAACATTAGGGGTCCAATGATACACCTTCCTTGAAAAACTCTGCTTCCCTCACCCAGCAGCTGGAGGAGAGGTCCCTCTGCAGGGCTGGGGTTAGAGCATCAACACTTATTTATAGGTGACCTTGGGCAAGTCACTTAACTTCAGCCTGCTCATCTGAGAAAAGATAACACTCTTACCCACGTTTCAAAATACAATTTGAAGACTTCAGAAGCACTCCGTATTCCACTCTGATCATGGTGATGGTAAAAACTGAATGAAATAGTGAAGACGAAGTTCTTTGTCAGCTCCAAAGAATCATAAGAAAAGATAATGAGCAGACTCCCTACTTAAGCAGGGAGATCCTCATCTCCTGTTTTCAATGCAACTAGATAAAACACATTGGTAAACAAGGAGAGAGACCACAGCTTGGAACATTCTACATCTCTGAAGTGGCAGCCTTGGGGTCGAGGAGGGAAGACCTCCAGAAAATACAGGTGAAAATAACAGGTTAGGGGCCCATGCAGCCCCATCAACTCCACCTGACTTGTTTATATGCCAAACTATAGGCCTGGTATTCAGAGCTCCCAATTTTCCTAGAGAAGCCTGATTAGGTGGTTTGGTTTTGTTTTTAAAGTGAAATCTCTTGTTTAAAATATTGCCTACAAATTCAAAGTTTTCAAATATTTTGTTACATAAATATTTAATACAATAATTAAAAAAAAACACTTAACATATGTTAAATTAAGAAAGAAAATCAAGAGAAACAAAAAACACTAAGGGACAAACCATACACGGCTATGGGCCAAAACAGCTGGCTGACCTTAACGGCCTGTGATTCCACCAAGGAAAGGGTCCCCTCCATGACTGCCCTTAGCTTCTTCAATCTCTTCCCCACATTGCTGTGTTTGTTACAACTGCCTCCTCCACCTCCAGTCATGACAAAGTCAACTCAAGTGCCTCCTCTCCTCACTCCCTCAGTTTGGCAGTGTTGACAACTGTCACTGCGTTGAACTCTGACTAGACTTTAAGCACCTTGAGACCAGGCTTATACATTTTTCTTATGCCTGAACCCCCAGGGATCTCTTACAAGGTTGATGTTTACTACATATTTGTTCAATGCAATTAAATTAGATGCCAATGGCCCGGATCTGGTCATGTAATCATTGGAGAATTTTGACCTATGTCTTCCTTTGAGATCTGCTTGAGTCCCACCTCCTCTAGGCTGACCTCAAAATGCCTGTTTCTCTTTCCTCTCTTCTTCCTCATCTAAAGTCACAACTGTTGATTTCTCCATCTTTCTAGTAACGAGCACTCAATATTTTAGAAGGCTCTCAAAATATGTTAATAGAAGTCAATAGATATTTAGCTCCTAAAGCTCTATTTTGAATTCATTTCTAGGTTTTCCAACTAGAGTAAGCAATTCTGGGACAGGGTCCATGTTTTCTCATTTTGCATCCCACCTAGTAGGCTCTGGGTACAGTGTTTAAGTTGGGACAATAGGACAATTGGGACCTGAAATCCAATTCATGTCAGCCTATAGAAGGGGATGCCATGTTATTACTGGTTAAGGAGGGTTGCTTTTTGCAGTTCTTTCTAATTCCTCATAATTTGCATGAAAGCACCTTGTGTGTTAGTGTAGAACCTGGCTCTTTCACCCCTGTGCCCCGCACATGGAAGATGCTCAATATATCTGTTGACTGAGTTCATTCACTTCATCAAGCATCTACTGAGCATCTACTGTGCACAAAGTTTCACCACCGTTGAACTGTCTATGAACTCAGCAGTGTGGTCACTCAGGTCAGCTTGAAGTTAACTTCCCCGCAGGGTAAGCTGGTGTCTTGTCATGTCCTCAAGAATTTTTTACAGTTGCATCCTAGACGTGCCATGAGAATTTTCTATTTCTGGAACTGGGACCAAAACTTGCAGGGCCAAGACCTGTATATAACTGGATTATAAGCAGATAAGCAGGAAGGGGAAGCTCAGGACAGAATCACACACAGTCAGAAAACCAACAAAACCAAACCAAATGCCACTGAGTTGGTTCCAACTCATAGCAACAGAGTGGAACTGCTACAGGATTTCCAAGACCATAAATCTTTACAGAAGCAGACTGTTTCATTTTTTTTCCCACAGAGCACACAGTAGGTTCAAACTGCTGACCTTCTGGTTAGCAGTCAAATGCTTTAAACACTACACCACTAGAACTCTGATACCCAGTCAGAGATGTACAAAATGAGCTACTCACCATGGCCATGACTGAAGTCAAAGATCTTTGGTTATGTGTTGGGCCATGCTCCCGAGAGCCAAGGCCCTCCTCTGCTTACTCCAGTTCTGAAATTTAACACTCAACTAGAGGGCCAGAAGTGGGTTGGACATCAAGACAGATAGAGAGAAGCTGTATTTGGTTTCCAGTAGGATGGGGTGGAATGGCTGAGGGAACTGGCAGGGACTGAGGAAGGGAGGCTCTGGAGAGAAAACAACCATGGGAGTGCCACAGCTTCCCAGTCAAGAGGCAGGGTGGTATCAGAATAGCTGAGTTCTCTTATTGCTCCTGTTGTTGTTATGTGCCATGGAGTCGTCTCCCACTCAAAGTGACCTTATGTACAACAGAACAAAACACTGCCCGGTCCTGTGCCAGCCTCACAGTCCCTACTATACTTGAGCCCATTGCTGCAGCCACCGTGTCAATCCATCTTGTTGAGGGCTTTTCCCTACCTATCATTGACCCTCCACTTTACCAAACATGACTTCCTTCCCCAGAGAACGGTCCCTTCTGACAACATGACCAAAGTAGGTGAGATGAAGCCTGGCCATCCTCGCTTCCAAGGAGCATTCCGGCTGTACTTCTTGCAGGACAGATTTGTTAGTTCTTTTGGCAGTCCATGGTACTTTCATCATTCTTTGCCAACACCACAACTCAAAACCATCAGCTCTTCTTTGGTCTTCCTTATTCATTGTCCAGCTCTCACATGCATATGAGGTGATTGAATATACATCATGGCTTGAGTTAGGCACACCTTAGTCTTCAAGGAGATATCTCTGTTCTTCAGCTTGTCAAAGAGGTCTTTTGTAACAGATTTGCCCAAAGCAGTATGTCTTTTGATGTATTGACTGCTACTTCCACTGGCATTGATTGTAGAACCAAGTAATATATAGTCTTTGACAACTTCAATCTTTTCTCCATGTATCGTGATACTGCTTATTGGTCCAGTGGTGAGAATTTTAATTTTCTTTATATTGAGGTGTAATCCATACTGTAGACTGTAGTCTTTAATCTTCATCAGTAAGTGCTCCAAGTCATTCTCACTTTCAGCAAGGAAAGTTGCCCCTGAGAGTTACTTATACTATATTTTGTCAACACCAACACTTCCCAGTTCATGTGCTAGAAATGCCCTCAACAACAGCCAGCAGATGTTTTGCATTTTTGCTTCACTCATTTTCTTTGCAGAAGTGACAAAGATCTTAGGTGCCAGAACCCCTCAAACTCTTCCATAGAAGTCCTTATGGCTGGAGGAGGTCTGGGGGGTATATAGGTAGAGGTTAAACAATTTCTGTAAAGTGAAATCTTTTATATGAAAAACTAATATGAATTTTGAATTCTATATTATATCCTATTTATTATGTAAAAGTAGTTTCTCCCTATATCTTTTGAGTAAAATTAATATTCCAGGAAGAAGTGCCAAGTTTATTTATTTATTTTTTATTATGATTTGGGTGAAAGTTTACATAGCAATTTCATTTTCCATACAGCAGTTCATACACATTTTGTCTCATGGCATTGACTGCAATTTCCCACAATGTAACAGCTCTCTTCCCACTTTTTGCCCATAGTTACCTGTTCCCTGTGTCCTTTCCTCTCATGCACTCCTGCTCCCCCCCCTACCCCCAGCAGTCTCCCTGTGCATACACTGCCCTTCTGTTCTCCCATGACTGATCTCTCCAAGGAGTGTATCTACTTAATGTAAATGTTCAGCCAATATGCTGGTCTTTTATTTGGCTGGAAGCCACAGGAGTTCAATTCCAGACCTGAAGAGCAGCAAGGGGCCATAGTCTCAGTGGTTTCACCAGGCTCTATCAGACTAGCAAGCCTGGTCGTTTTTTTTTTTTTTTAATAATTTTGAGTTTCGTTCCACATTGTTCTCCCACTCTATCCAGGATCTCTTACACAGATCCCCCTCTGAGTGGCTGACAGTGGTAGCCAGACACCATCTAGTTCTTCTGGTCTCATGGTCATATAGACTGAGCATTGTATGGTGTACCAGTCCCTTGGATTAATTCTTTCCATGCATCTCTGGTTTTCTTCATTATTCTGTGCTCTGGACTAGGAGAGACCCATCGCTGCATCTAGATGAGTGCCAAGTTTATTTGTAACCCTGACTGTATCTTTCCTTTCTCCCCCAACACACCCAGGAGTACACAATTCCAAACATGAATCAAGCTTTTTCTCTTCATGCAGACTGTCCCCACCCAACATCCTAGTCTCCTCAGTCCCTATCCGTCCAAACTCTACCCTCAGTTCAAGACCCAGCTCTACTCTCACTTCCCCCATGAAGTCTTCCCAGATTCTCCTCAAGCTAAAAGTAATCTCTACCTCTTTTGAAAACCCTCAGCTCTTTTTGTGTTTATATGTGATGATGCTTTGCCTTGTTAGTCTTTTGTGTCTCTGTCTTCTTTTCCTCAAGAAAAGCTTCTTGAAAAGAGGGTCTATTTCTTTCGGTATCCATTGTGGAAACTGTTATTATATACTAAACAGGTGCTCAATATATGATGAACATATCTTCAGACCCACTCCCCAATTGTCTCCCTATGCTTCACTGCTCCAAAAAAGGATGGTTTTACATGGGTGCCTGGTTAATGAAAACTTCTGCTCCTTGATACATTTGTCCTTGGCTGTAAAAAGTCTATGATCTGGACCTGGGAAAGGGGGCAGTATCTTTCCTTCAGTGTCATAGCTGGAAAGGACTCTGGTCCCGGATGAGAGGATTCACCCAACAATATGGCAAAGAAAACAAAGTAGCAAAGATAACAGGATCTTACCTTAATATTTTCTTCTGGCCAAGAGTTCAGCATTGTTGCAATGTGGCCCTTGTCATGAATGGTGATAAACAGCCCACTAGGAGAAACAAGACACACACATACAGAGAGAGAGAGAGAGAGAGAAACCAGGCAGTCAGACTGGGACCAGAGCAAAGACCACAAGTACTGTTTGTCACTGCATCATCCAGTTTTGCCGTAGACCTGCAAAAGAAGTCCAAAGCCCCAACAATTTAACCACTCTGTTCTTGCTCTTCTTCTCCAATCACATCTCTCCACAGAGCAAGGAGTCCTTGGGGCTGAGCTCACTGGAGCCTGTATTGTCCCTGTACCCCTCTAGAGCACACTGCAGGTATCCAGGACCCTAGAATCCCCTGTTCAAATGGCCCCAAGCCTATTTCCAGGTAATATATGAGCCTCCTTTCTGAGTCCTTCTTCCTGAGTATAGGCCCCACTGCTGTTGAATGGATCCCTAGCCTGAACTTGGACGTGTGGGGTGGGATGGCCACACACATGTGCATGAGGCCCCTTGTAGTGTGGAATGGAGCTGGAGAGGGGAAGAAGTGTGAGCCAGTTTTTTTTCTGGAGCCCTAGTAGCATAGTCTACCACTCATCTGTCAGTTTGTCATACTGGGGTGGCTTGTGTGATGCTGGAAGTATGATTATCTGGATCATAACAAATTATGGATAAATTGAGAAGAATGGGAATTCCAGGACAGTTAATTGTGCTCATGAGGAACATTTACATAGACTAACAGGCTGTCATTTGAAGAGAATAAGGGGATATTGCATGGTTTAAAATCAGGAAAGGTGTGTGTCAGGGTTGCATCCTTTCACCATACTTATTCAATCTGTATGCTAAGCAAATAATCCAAGAAGCTGGACTATATGAAGAACATGGGATCAGGATTGGAGGAAGACTCATTAACAACCTGCGATATGCAGATGAAACAACCTTGCTTGCTGAAAGTGAAAAAGACTTGAAGTGCTTACTAATGACAATCAAAGATTATATAGCCTTCAGTATGGATTGAACCTCAACATAAGAAAACAAATACCCTCACTGGACAAATAAGCAACATCATGATAAATGGAAGAAAGATTGAAGTTGTCAAGGATTTCATTTTACTTGGATCCACAATCAAAGCTTATGGAAGCAGCAGTCAAGAAATCAAATGATTCATTACATTGGGCAAATCTGTTGCAAAAGACCTCTTTAAAGTGTTAAAGAGCAAAGATATCACTTCAAAGCCTAAGGTGCACCTTACCCAAGCCATGACATTATTACTATAAGTTTTATTTTTTTAAAAAATTGTGATTTGGTGAAAGTTTACAGAGCAAATTGGTTTTCTATTCAACAATCCATATAAATTCTGTTTTGTGACATTTACTATAATCCCCACACTGTAACAACATTTTCCCATTTCCTCTCTGCACCCACCCCTTCCCTTACTTCTTCCTTCCCATCCCCTCCCACCTTCCTAGCTCTATGCCTGGGCAAATGCTCTTGATTTTTCCAATGAGTGCATACCCTCCTGATATTACTATTCACCTTATAGGCCTGTCTATCCTTTGCCTGCCATTTGAGTCATGGGAGTTAAGTTCAGTTTCAAACCATAGTATTTTAATAGCCTCATATGCATATGAGAGCTGGACAATGAATAAGGAAGACTGCAGAAGAATTGATGCATTTGAATTGTGGTGTTGGCAAAGAATATAGAATGTACCATGGACTGCTAGCAGAATGAACGAATCTGTCTTGGAGGCAGTTAAGCCAAAATGATCCTTACACGCGAGAATGTTCAGACTTAGTCTCTCATACCTTGGTCATATAGTCAGAAGGGACCAGGCCCTAGAGAAGGATACATGTTGGGTAAAGTAGAGGGTCAGCAAAAAATGGGGAAGACCCTCAATAAGACAGACTGACACATTGGCTGCAATGATGGGCTCAGGCATGGCAACAATTGTGAGGATGGTGCAGGAGCAGACAGTGTTTCATTCACAGGGTCACTATGAGTCGAAACTGACTCAATGGCATCTAAGGATAACAAAAGTATTCAGCTGCTAACCATAAGGTCAGTGGTTCAAGCTCACCAGCTGCTCTGTGGGAGAAAGGTGCAGCAGCCTGCTTCCATCAAGATTTACAACCTTGGAAATGCTATGGTACAGTTCTATACTGTCTACTAGCACCACTGTGAGTTGGAATCAATTCAATGGCAACAGTTTTTGTTTTGTTTTTTTTTTTTTTTTTGGTTAGAGTCTGAGAACTCTAATTTCAAACCTGGACTTCCAATCATCATTAAAGTATATTTGTACAGGTTGGAGGATGGAAGATATTTTCTTTAAGCTTGATTTAGAACTTTTAATATTTAGCCCTAAGGTATGTAAACCTCCATTTGTACTTTTGCTCTGGGCTCCATAAATGTCAGAATGGGCCTGGTATCCTCTCTTTTAACTTTAGTACAGAGTAGACATGGAGTCTGTCTTGTACAGCCCCAGGGAGAGGAGGGGTGGGGAGGCAGGCCTGTCCTCTACGACATGGGCTGACTGAGACCCTATGTCTGTGGTTCAAACAATTTGTTGCAACAGCATCTGTCACTGGCCTCCCTATTTGATACTTCAATCAGTGGCATTCTCCAGGAAGAGCTGCTTTTCTTCTTGTCTTAAATCCTTCTTCTGTGCTCCCACGGAATGGTGCAGGTTTGAAAGGGCATTTTCTCTGGAGCCAGAAAGACCTTATATGAATCCTTATTCCACTGTTCATTGTCTTTCACTATTTAACCTCTAAGACTCAGTTTCTCCATCTATAAAGTGGGAACAGTAATGGCCTACCTCATGGCGTAGTTATGAGGATTAAGTGACCTAAAGTATGCATACTGCCCAAAAGGATCAGCCGTGGCTCTCTCTGTATTCCACAGCTAAGTCTGCTTCAATCTCCTCTCCTTGAGAAGGAGTTAAAGTGCCTCGGAATGAACGATGCCCTGTGAGGCACTGCCTTTGACATCTGGTGTGACATGTTTAAAATGTGATGTTATCATCCTGCTCTGGAGCACAAAGGGAGGCAGGAAGGTGGGAAGCTCTGGGCCTGTCAGCCACATTTCCAGCTTCTGAGTGAATTATAGGCTGCCTGGGATCCCAAGGCGCTGAACATCCTGCAGTGAACTAATATAGCCTGAGTCCTTGTCAAGGCGAAGATTCCTCTGCGTAATTAGAACAGAACATCCTTCACTGCTCCTGGTGCTGTGAAGAGGGGCATCTGGGCTAGAGACACTCATGGGAATCTCACTGTTAATAGCCACTAATGGAACAGGAAAAAACTAAGAATAATTTTAGCCCCTGATTACTTCTCCCAGGTTTTTCCTGTTTACCTCAGAGAAGAAGTAATTTTGGAATTTGAGGTAAGAAAGAAAGAAAGAAAAAAAAAGATAGATAAAGTATAGCAAGCTGTCAATCCCTATGGGATCCAGAGATCAAGCTAATACATGCCCTACTTTACATAATATATATTTCTGAAAAGTTGTGAGTAAACAAATTTTCTATACTTAAAATTATACTGAATGTGTATCTGGGAGGTTGCTGTTTAAAGGGAAACTAAAAAATCCAAACCAGCTGCCGTTGGGTTGATGCTGACTCACAGTGACCCCATGTCTGTCAGAGTAAGACGAGCACCATATGTCAGAGGAAGATGAGCACCACAGAGCAAGGCATGATTTTTTGAAAGCCAGGCCTTTCTTTTGAGGGGCCTCTGGCTGGACTGAATCACCAACCTTTAGGTTAGTAGCTGAGTGCTTTACCTTTTGCACTACTCAGGGACTCTGTTTAAAGGGAACCTACAGGGAATTGTTTGGGACATAAATCAATGTTTTGTGATTTATATCTCAATTTGTGAATTTGTAAATTTCACAGGTTTGGACTTTCCTACCTCAGTTTCCTAGAAATAGGAGCCAGGTTTTCTCTCTTTTTTTTTTTCTTTTTGAGTTTTATGAAAACTATTTTATTTGTTTTTTAAATTTTTATTGTGATTTGGGTGAAAGTTTACAGAGCAAATTCATTTTCCATACAGCAGCTCACATATACTTTGTCTCATGACATTGAGTGTAATTTACCACAATGCAAAAGCTCCCTTCCCATTTCCTCCCCATAGTTACCTCTTTCCTGTGTCCTTACCTCCCATGCACTCCTGCTCCCTGAGCTGTCTCCTTGTGCATACACAGCCCCTTCTGTTCTCCCTTGATCGATCTCTCCAAGGAGTGCATCTACCTAATGTAAATGTTCCGCTTATATGTCTTTGTTTGGCTGGAAGTCACAGGAGTGGGTTCAATTCCAGACCTGAAGGGAACTAGGGGCCATAGTCTCAGTGGTTCCATCAGGCTCGATCAGACCAGCAAAGCTGGTCCCTTTATTTTTTAACAATTTTGAGTTTTGTTCCACATTGTTCCCCCACTCTATGGAGGATCTCCTATATAGATCCCCCTCCGAGTGGTTGACAGTGGTAGCTAGGCAGCATCTAGTTCTTTTGGTCTCATAGTCGTTATAGGCTGAGGATTGCATGGTGTACCAGTCTCCTGGACTAATTGTTTCCATGTTTCTTTGGTTTTCTTCATTCTTCTTTGCTCTGGATGAGGAGAGACCCATCATTGCATCTAGATGGCCCTTGCAAGCTTTTGGGATCCCAGTTGCTACTTGCCAAAGTAGGATGTGGAACAATATTTTTGTGTAGTATGCTATGCCAATTGAGCTTGATGTCCCCTGCGACTATGGTCCTGAGCCCACAGGTCCAATTACTTGAGGAGCCAGGTTTTCTTTTAGCTGATGCTTGGTCATTAGGTCCAGTGACCAAAGGCTGGGACGGAGTAGCCACGGAAGTGTAATTATTCCTGTAGGGAGCTTTGAGGTAAGTTTGTGGAGCAGGAAGGGAATGTATTCATGTGTAATAAAAATTCTTCTATGTTCTTTCACATATTTAACTCATTTAGTCCAAGAGGCATATTCATTATGTATTGCTTAACTTGTAACAAAGTTAAAACTCTTCTTTGTAACCATGTGTGGAATAGTTAGTTCTGTTCACCAAATATATGT